CAATGCTTTCGCTAAAATACGCATGTACGGTTATCCGGTCCTTTAATTCTTGTTGCTGTCGTCTTGCGTAGTGTAAATGGCCCACCAGGCCACATCAACATGCTCAGCTAGTGGAAGGACGGTATGCTGCAATGTGCACATACCACAGGTTAGAAGCTGACGAAAGACACGTTGCAAGTTGTCGGTTTGATGTTGACCCCTTACCAACCCGCGAGGCTCTTAACAGGCTGGCCCCTGGAGGTTCTCCGGAGACCATGTCTTGGTATAAGAGAAGAACTTGTTGCAAGAGCTCGAAAGTACCGCAAATACCACTGATTTTGCACTTACGGAACATAGCTACTCTACTCGGAACATGTTGTCTTCGCGCGTACCTATAGCTGGGAAGTACGCGCGCGAAGATGTTAGAAAGCAAGGTTTAGGCACACGTCGAACAACGAAAACATGCGAAAACTCGAGGTTTTGTCGTTTGTGAGTGCGCAGTAAGATTGGAAAACATGACAAAACCCCTGGGTTCCATGGTGTATTCGCAAGAGGGCACCGAATTCACTGGTATTTACAGTACTTCGTACACCTCAACAGAAACACGGAATCCCGATAGTCGTGGTTTTATGTGGTGTTTCGGTTCGCAATTATGGGTTTCGTCTGCTGTTGCCTGAAAGAAAACATGCAAAAACTCGAGGTTTTGTCGCGCGCAAGTGCGGAGAAGCACTTCAGCACATCAGGAAAACCTTGCGTTTCACGGTGTATTTGCAACAGAGTAGCCAATTCACTGGTATTTGCAGTACTTCGCACACGTGGAGAAAGAAAGAGTTTACCGATAGAGTTGGTTTTATGTGGTTTTGGGGTTTTAGACTTTAGCAAAGTTTAAGAAATAACATCATCAAGAACCATATCATCATCATGAATATCATCATCAAGATCATCATGAGCATCATCGTGAACATCATCGTGAACGTCATCGTGAACATCATCATGAACAAAACCATGAACATCATCATGAACATCATCCATCTGTCG